TGCCAACAACCAAGCTTTCTCCACCACTGGTCTCATCTCTGTCCTCGCTTTCAGCCTTCCCCCTCTCCTTTAGTGCATTCCCTCTCCTTTCCCCGACAGCCGTCAGCACCGTGAGTCCCTCCTCCACACTGTCAAAACCTTACAGGCCATGGGGCATGGAGATTGGGGCCTTCTGAAGCCAATCCCTGGACTGAGGGCAACAGCTGAGCTGTGCCCACCGTCACATACAGACTGCTTCAACTGTTTTACAACAATAAAATACAGGGGAACAAAACTGATCTTATTTTATTAAGCATAAGGAACAAGTGGGAGCGGTTGCTAGAGGATCTAATTTCTCATTTACTTTTAACAAGTAAAAAAAAGTATTTTTATGTTATTAAATGAAATCATAAACTAATTTAGCTAGCCTGCACTGCCTCCAGGTTGAGGAGTGTTGTAATGGTATGATAAATGGGTCATGGATTGATTTACAATAAGCACAAATTTAGAGATCAGCTGTTGTAGGCCATATACTGAAATATACAAATCTACACCTGGCGTAACATAGATTAACTTAATTATGTCAGCTTTCCTTATGATTTTGGGAACTACAGTGACAATAAATATGCATATTATGTGCGCAACTTTTGGGAAAATAACTTTTTAAGGTTTGGAAACCTGGATTCTTGTACCTGTTTGTAATATTTTTGTACCAATAAATTGATTCTAAATATATAAAACATGGTTACAAAAGAATGTGTATTTCTGTTGCCTTCACTTCTTTCATTCCTTTTTGGTTCTTATCATGTATACCATGTTGTTACTTTTCACATTCATTCACATGCAGCCAAGTCCTACATACAAGCAGACGACAGTAGCTCCTTTACTCATAAAGCCCATACATTCCCATAATGACACACAATCTGCAGGTGCACTTCTGTTGCAGTCTCATAGAAGTCAATCATGAGCTAATGAGGTCCTGGCTATTGACTGAAAGGTAATTCCTTTACTGTGTGCCAGGTAAGTAACCGAATTCGACAGCATTGTTGCCCTTATGAATACACAGGAAATCATTAAGAGCCAGAGGAAATCCTTTACAATGTTACCCTGACCTCACCAGCTCAGGTTGGTCTGGAAAGGAGACAATAGTGTGAACAGTATGAGGACATTGGAGGAAAGAGGTTGAAAAGTAACAGCAACACTCAGGCAGCTGGACCAATAAATCACTGCTCTGCATTTTAGGTACTGTTTTTGTTTCTGTCTTTTAGAGGCATGGCTTTTAAGGGGTTCATTTTTTTTAATGGCTTGGTCTTTTATCCATGCATGAAGCACATCAGGCATTCAGGTGGGGCATCTGCTGTCTGAATTGTATTCCCCCAGGGCTTTAAGTCACATGCTGTAAATAATAAATCAGATTATGAAAACTAAAATGTCAACAGCAGATTTTAGGGAATCTAATATTCTAATTCAGCCAGTCAGTAATACTGTTAATATAGTTGCCTATATTCCTGTTTAGCATATTATATATTTTGTTCCAGTTTTGAAGGGTTGTAGGGTTTTGTTTTGTTTTGGGGGGGTTCTGGTCCCAAATAAATCTGACACTGCCACCTGCTGGTGGAAAGCTTAAGTACAGTTAGAAGAATTCAACCCCCAGAGCTGGTGGCTCAGTTATGGCACTGTGTTGTGGAAAACTGGGCCCAAACCTTAGGGAAGGTTTACTGCAGTTTAACACAACGTGTGATGAAATATTTCTCTCCAGAGAGGACATGATGCTCCCAAGTGATATGATGAGTATAGAAATCATGTGAATCATATGCTGTCCCCTCCCACAAAAGAATAAGTGCACATGGTGAAAAGGCCTTAGTAGGGCACTGCGTTTCCCAGATATGGAATAACCATTTGGTTTTTGTTTCACTATTTCCACTGCTGCACAGCAAACAATAACTGTTGATAACCAATTTTACAAGTTTTATTTTTTAAATTGTAAACAAATACAGTTTAAAACAGTGCCGCCGTCACAGTGTAATTCAGTTAAACAAGTAAGCTGAAGTGTCCATCATATTGACCAATCACATCAGGACCCGTCATCCGTTGGGCTCCGCCTCTAGACAGTCAAAAGTAAGTTTAGCGAGCGCGTACGTTGGTTTAGCAGGGTGTGTGTAAGCAGGGTTTCTCCACAGAGCACCCGCCAGAGCATAAAATTGTAGCAGCACGTGCAAAGCAGCTAGTGTGCACGATTGGAATGTAATTGTGTCCCTGAAATAAAATGATTTGCTCAGATAATGTTTTTGATCGTGCATGTGTTATGTCATAAATATAATTCCATACAGAAGCACCCTGATGTCTTTTTCAGCCACTCCTTTGTAGATTTACAAAAAGAAAGTTATAGCTAGCCTTCAAGACCTTGAAAGGTAACCTCAACATTGAAGTTTACCGGAAGCCCACATACACGGACCAGTACCTCCT